AATTCAGAATCGAATCGTGTAAAACCTCATAAAATGAGAAACTCTTATAATGCATATTTTTTCGTTCACAATATTTAAATTTAATGTCAACGATCTAAATAATTCAATGGTTATCTTCTTCTGTTGAAAATAAGAAGTTCTAAATTCGAATCGCATGATATGCGGGTGAGATGAGATAAAAAATAAAAAATGATCGTCTTCCATTGTGCAATCAAGATAAAAAATATATATATTTAAATTTAATATTTTATTTTAAAAAATTAAATATTTTTCATTTATACCAATAAATCATTGGTTATAAAATCAAATAATAAACACTAATCTTATTAATTATTATAAATTAATATTTTAAAATAATGTGTTGCGGAATTATGCGGAAAAGCGCTGTGCAATCCTCAATCTTGACTTTCAAGTTTCAATTGAAAGAAGTTGTTTTGCCATTTTTAATTTTGGTTTTCATATTTTTGCGGCGGGAGACAATGATGAATGGGGCCTCCAACGGGATTGAGATATGGACCAAATAACCTTTTATATAAAGCCTGGTGATCATCGTCTCCAGGCGGCTGTAGTCATCATAGCGTTACAACATACATTGCTACCCACCGCCTCAATTCATGATTACTTATTTTTATTGAAATTGTATTTTTATCATTGGACCGTCTGCATGATATTGTTTTCTATTTTGAATTGGATAATCAAAGATTTTTTTTTAAAAATATTTAATTCACCTGACTTCATGCTAATTGAATTAATTTTTTTTAAATTATTATTAAGTTATTTATGTAACTGAGGTTTGCATGATAGGTTGTTGCACAGCTACCATCTAATATGACAAAACTTGTGAAAATCGCTTTAGACTCTCCCCACCTAATTTGATAAAGAACTAGAGACAATCAAAAAGGAAAGGTCCAGACAGAAGATGAGGAGGGCGAAACAGGACATCAGAGAGGCAAAATCCCCAAATTTACCTCTCTTATAGGAGGGTAGGGACGGATTTGCTCTTTAAAACAATTTATTTCTATATCATTTTGAAAAACAAATCTATTCTTACCCTATTATTTAAGAGGTGAATTTGGGAGTTCCCCCTGTAGAGAACTGCCATTTGATCTATCAAGTTTCAATATATCCTTGAGTTACGGGCCAAAAACGAAGAAAAAATACGCCTTTGAATTACATGCAGCTTTACATGTAGTCAACCAAATGGCTAAGATTGGAAAAAGTCTCCCTTCCCCTTTTAGGATCTTGTAATCCAAGGATTTTGTTTTTTCCTTGCTGATATTTTGAATTACTTCGTACAAACTGGACCAAAATAATATCATTAATCTAAGCAAAGAGATATCATCCAAGTGGGGAATGAGAAGATTTGTCAAGAATTATCATTTTGTGATCTTGGTCAATATAACTTTTGAGACAAAGGGCAGTCTGCTTTAGATTAACATTCATTTCATTAGTCAGAGATTACTTTAACTTTTGATTAATGATCGTTTTTTATAATTAAGATTCCAAACAATAGGGTCCTCAAGACATTTTTTTAGAAAACAGTTTTTTCCAAAATCATGCAAGTTTGCTTTCATAATTATGTCAGAACAGAAGGATCATCTAATCTTTGAATGAAGCAAAGAATTATATGCTTCTATGAGCCACAGAACAAATCACTATGGAAAGAAAGGAATCCATTCTTGGAAGAGCATTGAATGTAAAGCCCAAGATTTATATTTATATTTTTCATATTTGGCCCAAACAACAAATAATCAAAGCATAACCTCACTTTCAGCTTCTTAGAGAGATTACATTATATATAGTGCAATGATTTTGAGCCTCAGAACTCCATAAAAAGTGATTTGTTCCTGCACCATGTCTCTCCCTTCTTTTTCTCACTCTTTCCCTTTAGGTCCTTTTAGAGGCACACTGTTCTGATTCTGTCCTTGCAGCGTTTTGTGTGATCTTTAACGTTTGCAAACAGAAAGCATCCTATAATAAAATCAGATGAGGGCATAAAATTTCCAGGCTCATTGCAGGTCCCATTGGCAAAGAACACCTCCCACCACTAAGCAACCAATAGGAATAAATTTCAAGGAAGTTGTCAAGTTTTTCTTTCCGTGTTGGAATTTGTCATAGTAGCACTAAGAGTGACATACTAGGATGATGTTTTCATTGCCACTCAGCATGGCATTTTGTCATATGGTTACTCCATTGTGATTGAAAGTAGCATTTTCAAGCAACCTCAAGTCTTTTAAAACATCTCATTGCATTCACCCTTTTTTTTTTCCTTCACTCGAGTTGTTTTGTGACGCTTGTGTCTGCCCTTACCATCATAAAAGGCAGTTCAGTTCTTTTGCCTAAACAAGCAATGTAACTGCCTTGCCTTGATGCTAGAGAACCTGGCTTCTGTAAGGTCTTGTGACATCAAAGGGAGGCTGGGGATGGTTAAACTGGACCTACATCAGTTCAACCTTTTATAACCCCAACTCTCCTCCAAGTGAAGGAAACAAGAGGTACAGATGCATTCATGCACAATCATGTCACGTTTATGTCTCAAATCAGCTGAACCAATCTCATTATCAGTGGCTCTGTTTGATATAGTAGGGCTAGGAAAACCATTGATCTTGAATATTCAAGTGCTTCCATCTTATATTTGGCCTGTAATGGTCAATAAAGCAGAGCCCCAAATCGGTCAAACAACCAGGTCTGAGATAAAGAGCAATCCTCCTAAGCTTTTTGCATCCCATCAACAAAGCCCGTACTCCATTGTCAAGAGACAAATCTGTTATCCTCTCTTCTCGGTCAAGCAAGACCAGGCGAAAATCACTTAGGTTGTTCAAGTAAGTCCCTATACATTCCAAAGCTTCATTGGTGATATCAGAAATGTAAATGGACAAGTATTCCAATTCAAGGCAGCCCTGAGCCAAGGTAATTAATCCTTCCTCTGAAACACCTTCTTCATCCTCCAATCCCTGCTCATCTCCACCTTGCTCAATCCTAAGCCTCTTGAGTCTCTTACAACTTTGAGCAAGGACTTCTAATCCTCTATCTCCAATAACATTCCTTGCCTGCACAAGCAGAAAATACATCAAATAACAAAATCAAATCAAAGATGCATAACTCCACAGCAAGTTGACATGTTGTATCGGCCTATGAATTAAGAGTCCTCCTTTGCCAAATTACATACCCTATATTATTCAAAACTCAATGGTATACCAATCAGTGATATGAAAGAAAATAGTTAAATTGGACAGTTCAAGATGGTACCATTTAAAACCAGAAATCAAGGGGAAATGAATTGAAAAGACATTTCAGAGAAATAGGTTGACAGTAAGATGCTAAACCTTAGTAAAAGAAGAACACAGACAAAAGCTGTGTCAAAACTCCAGAAGGTAAGGGGCAATACATGGCAAACTAGGAGGGAAAAAGGGAGAGACAATAAAGCCATAATTCCAAGATAAAAACAACATCAAAACAATATAGGCTAATAGCTGTGTATGTACCTCAAGAATTTCTAAGTTGGGGCATCTTTGAATTAACACACAGAGGTCCTCTGTGTCAAGGAACGTAAATAGAAGATCCAATTTTCTGAGAGAAGTAGCAAATGGGAATAGTATTGGCATTTCATTCTTCTCCATATACAATAGACCCAAACTGCATAATCTTGGAGGGAATTGTATATCACAGTTGTTTTCACGTTCTGCCTTGAAAGAAGCACCGGAAAACTCTTTCAGAGCAGTTGCAGCTCGGAAGAAATCAACAAGATCAGAGACTTCAAAATCACTAACTTTCACAGAAACTAAAGAACTACAATTCTTGGCTATGAGTTCTAGGTCTTTCACACTAACTTTTCCAAGATTCGTCATGTAAAAATTTAAACTTTCAAGGGCAGTGTTGTTCATTGCAAGCTCATGCAGCCATTGACCATCTTTCTCCACAATCGTGCTGTCTTCTAGAAGCAAGGTTCTTAATTGCCTGTCAAAGATACAAAAATACATTAAAAACACGAATCAGCAAGGCCAAAAGACCTCTATGAGTCTATGACTGCAGATTGCGAACGAAGACTACAAAGAGATGCACTTCGTACTGTTACATCGAGAATTCCTAAATGCAAACAATAATATTGTGCGATTAAGTCAGGCACAATACCCAAATAGGAGAGACTCTACCTGCAGAAGCGACCTACGTGCAAGAGCCCATCGGTAGAGAGTCCCCTGCACTTGTCAATTTTAAGAACCTGCAACACGCTACCGCGTGCCCTAGCCAAAAGCTCCAGGGCGGGATCGCTCACATTCATCCTCACAAAATGCAGCGATTTCAAGTAATTGAAATTCTCCGCAATCTCCCTGACCCACGGCGGCATGTAATCCTCCGGTATCGAACGGAACATGGTTGTCCTAGGCTTCCCCTTGAATTTCATGGATTCCAGGTGCCCGAATCTCCTCCGCAGCGAATCAAGGGTGGTCGTGCAAGACGCCGTAATCGTTATGTGCTTCCGCGTCAACGCGTCGAGCTCGAACCACCGGCGACAGACCAACGACACTGCATCCCGGTCCTTGGGATCTTCTATGTATGGCATAACGCAACTCAGCACCACATCCGACATCCAAGCATTCCACGTCGCTTTATTTGCCTTGCTGTCGTTCTCCTCCATGGATGAAATCCACAAACCAATCTTCCGAGGATCGGCCAAGAACCAGCCTAATTCCCACTCTGCTGACCGGAATCTATCGACACTGAAAATTGTCGACAAGGATCGAGAATGGAGATGAAACAAAATGGTTGACTTGACTTCTACCGTTGGACTTGGGATAGTGTAGGCCTGAATTTTATCATTTACCTATGGGCAAAATAGACATTCCACGTTTGCCAGATTTAGAACTTTTATACCCTGTTTGGTTTACCGCAAATTGCAATCAACTTGAATAAAGTACCGTGTGGGTAGGTCCAGATGTTGGAAAAAAATTTTAATTAATTAAATTATAATATTTTATTAACCGATCAAATATGACATTAACTTAATATTTTAAAATATTTGTTTACACTTAATTTTACAATAAATAAAGTGTCCTCACATGTCACCTATGTTGGTAAATATTTCATTGATTGAAAGTTAGTATAAGGTCCCATTTGGTATAGCGGTTTTGGGGTAGCGGTTAGCGGTTTTACCTAAACCACTAAATATTTCGAAACTGCTATAAATAAAGTATTTGGTAAAATTTTTATTTAGCGGTTTGAGACTAGTGGATAGTGGTTAGAGTCCAAACTGCTAACGGATTGAAAAAGTTAGTTTATATAACTTTTTGTACCAAACTGTTAACGGATTAAAATTTTTTAATTTTATTTACAAATTTATCCATTTTAATTTTTAATTTGTGGTCACATTTTTTAATTAATAATTATCTAATAAATTTCAATTTTATTTTTTTACCTTTAATAACATTAAGTGATTATAATATTTTTTTTATATTAATTAAAATTAAAAAATATATTATCTTAAAAGATAAAATTTGTTAATTAGACAAAATGATTCATTTTTTATTTAAAAATAATATACTTTTAAAAAAATAAAATAAAAATGAGGGTGTAATTATATCATTATAATTTATTTTATTTTATTTTATTTTATTATTATTTTTATAAAATTAATAATTTTAATAATAAAAATTTTATTATTTTTATTTTTATTAAATTAATAATTTTAATAATAAAAAATAAAAATATTTTAAAAAATATACTTATTTGTTTTTAAACATGTCTTTATTAGTTATTTAATGTTAAATAATAACCACTAACCATTGTATAGCCAAACAGTTATATTTATCGAATCCGCTATTTACCATCCGCTACCCACTTTCCGCTATCCGTCATCCGCTATCAGCTAACCGTCACCTGCTACTCGCTACCGTTATCCACCATCCGCTATCTGTTGAATTTTAACCACTATACCAAACATGCCCTAAATCTCTCCGAATAAGATTAAGCGGTTATTTCCAAAACAATTGAAAAGTCGTTCATTTGTTGTGTACTTTTAAGAAGATAATTGATAGCATTAACAAATTAATCGATTTATTACAAATATCACGCTGTAGTTGGTTTTTGAAGATTGTTGTCACAGATTTCTAAGCATGCTATCAAGAATTGTTTATTGCTATAAATATGCAGAAAAGAAAGGAGCAGAAGGACCAACCTCTCACACAACAAGTAATTTAATTCATCTTTTGTTGGTTTTGTAATGATTTGTTGCTTTCAGTAATATTTCTTTGTAATCAGATTGCTTCCTTTCCTCTTTTGTTTTCCAACTTTCTCTTAATTTAATTAAATGATGTCAACCTTTAATTTTATGTTCAATTCTATTTCTGTTACTTTACATTTTATGCTACCAGTAGATTTTTCATGTTTCTAGTTTTATTTACTTTTATTTAATTTACTTTTTCTACAATTAGATTTCCTTTTAGAGCTTTATTTCAACTCAATTTGTGTATTTAAGGTTCATTAAAATTTTTGGTGGTTCGGTGATCATTTATTTTCCTTGCAGTCTTAGCTTTTCTTGATGACATTAGTCTGGAGGAGTTCTTGGAATCATATCCAAGACATTTTGTTGTATAATCCATTTAATACAGGAAGTTCATCTTTCATTTTTGCCAATCGTCTGATCATTAAAG